TAATAAACTAGCCCTCGTGGCTGCGTTGCGACGGCCTCACAGCTCGAATCATCGCAACGAAACCGACACTAAGTGCGTGCGAAGCACGCACGTGTGTCTAGTATATATATATATATATATATATATATATTGTTATCATATTATAACAAATTTACATCATGTTGCCCTACAAAATGCCCTAAACCCTCCGAAAGACAGCGCAGAATTTCCAGAGCATGGCCGGCCCATGCCAGCAGGCTGTTAAGACCTCTCAAAACCAGTTGTGATGGGAGCTGCCGGGCCTGTCCTGCAACACACTCAACCTCTGACAGCTGCTGACACGTATCAAGTCTTGCAGCGTAGGTCTTTGTTGTCCTGGTCCGTGAACACAGGCCCTGCCATACATGTACAGTGTACAGGCTCAACAGCCCCTTTGCACAGGCACGATTCTGAAAGGCTCAGCTCCTAACAGTCTCCTCACTCTTGTAGCCTCTCACGTACACCGTGGCAGGGCGCGTGACTCAAAAGTTGTGCTTTCAGTCTGCTTCTACATGCCATCAGGTCTTGTGACATCTTGGATCAAACACTTGTCTCTGGCTGCGCATGAGTCGATGGCACGGATCTGTTCTCCGCGGTTCGGCTCAGATCTTTGTATCCTTTCAGACCATGCTCAGGGCCGCCGAGGCAGGACATCTGTGGGGTTGTGTTGTGTGAAAGGATATACTGTACCTTGATGTCGTGTTTGCTGTCACATACTGCGTTTGGTTCCCGAGGCTCCTAGGGGAGGGGTAGGTAGGCCCGGTAGGCATGACCGGAAGGTAAGGCGACAGAATAGCTACAAAGGCATTCAGCCGGGCAGCACTTGGGAGTCGCTGAAGCTGCAGGTGATTCCCTTGAGAGCCGTCCCCGGTGTGCGGCCTGCTGGCCTGAGCAAACGCTCGCAGAGAGCTCCTGCAATCCGACTCAGTGCTTCGAGCATCCGAGCTTCAATCTTGCTGACGGCACTCGAGAGCGGGGCGGAGCTGCTCCGAAAATCACGCGAAGAAATGCTTTGAGGTATTCGGAGCACTGCTGTCTGCTTTCTCGGTGCGGCTGTGACAAGGCTGGGTTGCCTTGGACTGATCTTGCCTGACTGGCTTTTCTCCGCCTGAGGCGAAGACCACGAGCCTTCGCAAGCGTCGCAGCCGCCATGGCAGTGCCCGAGAATTTGGAGGCATGAGGCGGCATGTGTGCCAGGAGGCTCTCGGTAATCCGGAACAGCAACATGCCTTTGCAGGCCTTGCTGTTTGATATTGATGGGACCTTGGCAGACACGGATCCCGTTCACTTCTCGGCGTGAACGCCTTAGCATGTCGCCGTCCTTTCAGAGTCTCCGGATGAGTGGTCTAAACATCACACAGCCAGATCCGCGAAGGCTAATTGCCGTGAAATGAGGTTCGTCGACATCTTGAGAGAGGTAGGCTTCAATGATGGAATTGCCATCGGTCCATTCCTCGGGTCTGACCATCTACTTTTGCATTGCGGTGGCACAGGTATTAGAATTCTCGGGCGATTCGCGGGAAGTCCTTGAACGACTGGTGACTCTTGCTAAATATACTCTGCTTATAACTCTTGCAGATATATATATATATATATACACATATGCCAGGGCATGACAAAAACCAGGCAGAATAGGCTGCATCCGAAAAGGGTAGGAGCGAAGCTGGGCGGAGCCGAGCTGGCCTAGGTGGACTCGCTGTTCCCCTGCAAGGGACGAGAGGTGAGAGAAGGCAAAAAGGTTTAGGGTTTAGGGTTTAGGTTTCAGAACCTGAGAACCAATGGAACCTCACAAACACGGAGTCGGACGACGGGTAGCCACAAGAAAGTATTGAAGTATATGTAAAAAAGCACCCAGCGTGGAAAGCTCACTAGGATGGGACGGCATGCGCTGCTCTTCCAGAAAAGCTGGCATCCTTTGACCGCACATGGATTCGGAGGCAATCAAACTCCCCAAACCTCATGAACACCAGACGACTTGGTATTCCGTGAATGTCCTCAGACCTTGACACGGCTTCTGATGAGATCAGTGGTCGTGCTTGTCAGCTTGTCCGCCTTACCGTCGAAAAGGGTGCGTGAACCAACAGTCAAAGAAGAACCCTGAAAAGGAGAAGCAACAAAAAGAGATGCGGGATACAAAGTGATGGGGCACCTGCAGCATGCATGAAAAGCAATCACCGTGAAGTGAAGCTCTCGCCCCATAAGATGAAGACTTCTTCAAGAGTCGGCCAGGTCCTCAGCTATCGGATCGTCTGCATTTCTAAGCTGTTTGCGGGGATCGTATGGCATTCAAGGATTTCCGGCCGACAGAACAAGCAGATTTGCGGCGACCTCTTCCCAGACTGGGATCAGCAACGAGCCGAAGCTTTCGCAGAGAAGAAAGAGGTTCAGCTCTCGGCAGCTCTCGGCATCCTTGCAGTAGCAACACTTCGAGCGGACTGGGGGCCTAGGCCATGTTTCGAGAAAGCGCGGCGAAGTTGTTGAAGCCGATGGCCGGTCTCTTTCTTGCAAACACAGCAACTTCTTGTTTTCATGCAAGCGGTCGTGCAAGCTTCAATTCGACAGAGGTCTCGATCGCGTGCGTGCGTGGTGCGAGGAAAGCAGCCTCAAGAAGATCGCAGCCTCTTTGTCTGACTTTGTCACTTCGGTCTGTTGGCTTTGGGCTCCTCTCGGCTAACAGGAAGGGCGTAAAAAGAGCTGCGTGACACGATAGGAGTCTGGCAACTGCTCAATTCCCCAAACAGGAACCGTTGGGGTCCTCCCCTCAAAAGAAAAGGGAACGTGCCTGACGGGAAGGGTGGCACGCAGCTCTGGAGTGCGGGCCCACGTGTTTAGATGGGTGGCGCAGAGCTGGGGTCCGCGGGTTCGGATGGGTGGTGGGTTTGGATGGGTGGCACGCGGCTGCGGCTCTGGAGCTCAACTAAAGCATTTTCCATACGATTTTCGGATTTAGGGACTGCATATAGCTCCATATTTGTCAAAACGAAAGCCCAATCCGTTTAGTGGGCCTTGGGAAATCGAGAGCTCAATTCAAGCCTCCGAAAGGGGCCGGGGCACCAGCAAATCTGAACAGCTCTGAATACGTTTTCCAAGGTTTGAATAATGCGCCCTGAAAACCAAAATAAAGCATTGTCGGTGCGAATTTCGTGGTGACCGTCGTGGTGTAAGGACAGACGGCATTGAGCTCCAGATTTGTTGGAACCAAAGCCAAATGCTTTAAGCAGCTTTGGAACTGGTCGGAGGCTTCAGGAGCTCGACTTGGGTTCGAGGACTGGGGCCACCAGCAAAGCTGAAACAGTTCTAAATACGTTTTCCAAACCTTGAAACATGTGTTTCTGGGTATTTGTGCGCGCTCATTAGAGGTGCAAGACTCGTTGTCACTTGTGCGCGATTTGCAAGGCTCACGAAAACGTGTGGAGCTTGGCTGAGCTTGGATGCAATGTGAGGAAACCGGGTCGCACCGAACCTCTGCCCGGAACCACCTCCTCGGAACCGAACTGCACGGAACCGGGAACCTGCCCCCGAAAACCGACCTGAACCTCCTGGGACCTGCCGGACCCTGTGCGAACTGGAACCCGCTTCCACACCTAAACGGACTGCCCTGCAACCCGCCCCTGCTCTGAACCCCGAACCTGCCCGGACTGGCTGGGAACCTGGTAACCAACCTGTCCCGGAACCTGCGTCAGGCCTTGCCCCAATCGACCCCAGAGCTCACGCTGTTGGAGAATTACAAAACAGATCGGGAAAAATTGCTTTCGGCTGGCTTAAGAAGATCGCAAGAAGCTCTAAGTATGACTTCTTCTTGTCTGAGCCGAAAAGCATTTTAACTGCGTCTCACTTTCGTTTCAATTTTGGGGGGCCGCTACCTCGGCTCTCCCTCCTATGCATGGCCCTCCCTCCCGCACATCAACCCATTGAAATTCCCCAAGGGGTGAATCGGGCTCCGTCAAAAGGGTTTGCGGTAGGTTTCCAAACTCCTGTGATTGAGGCATTCCCTAAATCTCGCTCGGCAAGTAGATGTCGAACAGGATCGGGGTCAGCAGTGCGTCCAAGGGATTTGGTGGGACAGACCGCGGACTAAAATTTTGCTGGCTGCATCGCGTGCTCTTTGATTTTGAATTTTACTATCCCGAGCCCCCTCGGCTTCAAATTCCGGGCCTTGTTGAAGCCGGCTTCAAACTGGCTTCGAATACCCGCTCAGTATTGGGGGGTTAAGTGCGATCCCCCAGTCTTGGGACGGCATTTGAAGTGCATGAAGCCAATTTGAGGCCGGCTTGAACAGGGCTTCTGAAGCTTCTGACCACGCTTTTTTGTCTGGCCCTGTCGGCTTCAAAAGATATGGGCAGTTCTCTAAATTAGGAAGGGACCCTAATTTTGAAAACTATCCATATGTAACCGGCAGAATTTCAAGGCTTTTCTTGGGTCCATGTAGCTCAGTTTGACAATATTTCTAGGCAGAGGAAACCCATCGTAAACCCTTGGAGGGAACCCGATTCACCCTTTGGGGAAATACAAATGGGTTAATGTGTGGGAGGGCGGTCTATTGAGCTCCTGAGCCGCGGTCCGCCCATCAACGCGAGACACCAGTTCCTAAACCGCCTTCCACCAATCCAAACCCGCGGGCCGCAGCTCCAGACCCATCCAAACCCGCGATCTCCAGAGCCGCGTTCCATCCATCCCGCCCACCCATCCACAGCATTCCCGGCCTCGTGAAAGCTCCAGACCCACCCAAACCCGGGTTTGCAGCTCCAGACCCGGGTGCCACCCATCCAAACCTGCGGGCCCCAGCGAAATGCATGTTCAAGGCTTGGAAATCGTGTTTAGAGCTATTTCAGCTTTGCTGGCGTGCCAAACCCAGTCCGAGAACCCAGACCCAAGCCCAAACAGATTTTCCAAGGCCTCCTAAACGCATTTGGGCCTGGTTTCAACAAATCTGGAGCTCAATGCTGCCCCTACACCCGAAAATCGCAGCGAAAATGCTTTATTTTCGCTTCCAGGGCACCGGAAGCGCACTTAGAGATGTTTCGGCTTCGCTGATGCCCTTGGCCCAACCCCCGAGGCTTTAATTGAGCCCTGGAAGCCCCCGACCAAGCCCAAAATCTTCCAAGGCTTGCTAAACCCATTCAGCCTTTGTTTCCACAAATCCGGAGCTCAATGCCGTCCCTAAGCCCGAAAATCGTCTTGCAAATGTTTTAATTTGGTTTCCAGTTTTGCGAATGCCCCTGGCCCCAATCTCCGAACGCAAATCGAGCTCCCGAAGCCTCCGACCAAGCCGAAAGAATTTTCCAAGGCCTGCTAAATGAATTTGGCCCTGGGGTATCAAAACTGGAGCTCAATGCCGTCTCTGCGCCCGAAAATCGCATCGAAAGTTCTTTAATTTGGCTTCCAGGCTCTAAAATGGCATTTTGCGAAGCTTGGAAAACGCATTTAGAGCTGTTTCAGCTTTGCTGATGCCTCTGGCCCCGCCGGGGGCTTTAATTGAGCTCCTGGCCCCAGCCACCGAACCCAAATCGAGCTCCCGAAGCCAAAGCCTAGATGTATTTTGCAAGGCCTGCTGAACGCGTTTGGCCTTGGTGACAACAAATCTAAATCTGGAGCTCAACGCCGTCTCTAAACCCGAAAATGTAGTAGTGAGATGCTCTAGTTTCGGAGTTGTCTGGAAGCCGCTCCTGCCTTGCCCGAGTCGAAGCCCGAGCTGGCGACGAAGTTGCTTTAATTTGGCTTCCAAGTGGCTAAACCGGTTTTGGGACGGGAGTGGCTCAAAGTTTGAAGCGATTTGAACGTGCAGTAATAATGGGCCGACAACTGTCTGAGCGAAAAGAGGTGTTTTTGAGCTCACGGCATTGGCAATCTCAGCCAAGGTCACAAATGCACCTCGTGTCAATGCTGAGTTCATCATGGACTGCATTGGCTACAGATCCTGGTTTCCAGAGCTGGTGATTGGCGACGAGTGTGAGCGTGGGAAACTCGAGCTTTCAGAAATGGTCTGGCATGGAGATGCCGTGTAACCGGAACATGGCGGCCCGGGTTTACCCTGCTCTCCTCGGCCAAGGAAACCGGACCCGTGCCCTTACGAGACTGCAATGAAGCGCCTGGGTGTCCGACCTGAGCGCTGCATCGCTTTCGAGGCGAGCTGAGACCGGGGACACAGAGGCGCAGACTGCTTGCCTCTCTTGGGAGGACTCGCCCTCCGGAGCCAGATCGGCCGTGGCAGCTGGGGTCTACACCGTGGGAATCTTGTCGAGCCAGGACTGCAACGCGAGCTTTCCATGGGAACCTCCAAGTGGCAGTTTTTCCAGGATCCGGAGAAGCTCCGTGCTGCCGGTTGTGCCGAAGTGGTGCAGAGCTTCGATGACGAGCACCTGTGGCAGCTCCTGTCCCTTGCCTCGTGCAGCAGGGAGTATTCTAAGCCTGATTGGGAGAAGCTCCGCTCAGGCGGAAAGTGAAGCTGCCGCGATCCGTGCAGCAAGCAGACAGCTGAAGAGGGCTGTTGGTTTCACCAGTCGTTCGAATTGCCACCGAGGGAAAATCCAGGTCCAGGCTTCATTGGGGTCAAAGCGAGGTCCTCTAACGACCAGCAGCATTCGCTTACCACGAGCATCCCCAAACACTTGCATGCCATTGTTTATTAAATTAGCTGGCAGCTGGTTGTAGATCTGCTCTCTTCAGCCCGCAGATGCTGAAGCGGTTTTGGCGGCTTTGGTTGGGGCTGGCTCTTCGGCAAAGGCGGCAAAGTAAAAGGCCACTCTGGTCCACAGAGGATCTTCTTGTCACTCTCTCCGCCGCTGCCAGGTTGGAAACCACAGAGTGTGTTGCCTTGTAGTGTAGGGACAGAGGCAGTTCTGATGCAAGCGGCCGCTCGAAGCATGATGCATGTGCGGGTGAACATATCAGGGTCCCGTCTGGGCGCCAAAATGTGGCATCTTTGCCGTGGGGGGGGGGGGGGGGGGGTGGGACATCGTGTAAACCACGCAAGCCAAAGGGACCGAAGGCAATTTTGCAGCTCTAAGCCCTGCGTGTTGAAAAGTACACTGCCAGGCAGTATCCGTGGTGTTCCCAGTCGCGTGCAGAATGTAGCATTGCCTTTGCGAACTTCGCAGCATCGCGAGGCCAGACCTTGTGAAGCATCTTCAAGACAATGGCATCTGTCGTCGCGTCCTCCATTCTCCGCCACTCCAGTCATTCGGAATCAGCTTGGAACACCTTGCCAGCACTGAGGTGTCGTAGTTGGCCACACGCCGCATGGCAACTGTCCAACTGTTATACCTCATGAAGGAGCTCGTCTTGAGAACTTTCAGTGGCAGTAGCACGATCTTGGAATCGACGAGGATTGTCCGTCATTATGGGTGACACGAGCTACAGTCAGAATCTCAGTGCATGGCAGATGGAGACCCCGGTTTGCTCCTGTATAGCAGGTTGCATGAAATCTGATCTTGCATATTCCGGAGACAATCGCGATGGCCTTAGCAATCTCCCAGAGAAGCCAGCTGGGCGCATCTGGATGACAGCGACCCAATGATGGCAACCACAGCCCCATAGCGAGCATCTTGTTGGTCCCAGATCAGGTGGCGATGCAGTCTGCGAGATCGCCACGAGCCCATTCATGAACTTGCGGTGCAGAATCAACATGTTATGTCACAAGGCCTTGGAAGGTGACAAGTGCTTCGTGCGGGGGCGCACTGGCTATGTGGACGGACTTAGCCACTTTCCTGCATCAGTTGCCGTCGTGAACCAATCGCAACTCGTGGTCATTAAGAAGGGAGAGAGCGCGAAATACTCCGCGAGGCTGCCATCGGCAGGCCACCGGCAGAAGCACACAGACCTGCGAACGAGCAATCGCTACATCATGTGACAACACTTTGGTAGAATGTCTGTTGTCCCAGTACAGTGGGCTGCGATGCTTTGAAGCAATCGCAATCTGGCGGCAAGTGCCCTTCTGGCAGATTGTACACTACGCAGCGCCTGGCGGCTGCGATGGTGGTGCCTGCCCTGGGTGATCGGTGATAAGCTGTTTCGATTGTGCCAGGACTGCTCGGCTGCTAGGATCCGTGCCAGTTGCTTTACCAATCTTGGTTCGAAGGTGGAGATCCTCACATCGGGATTGTGCAGCCGCAAAGCGAGGAGGCCGCTCCATGTACTGCCTAACCTATGTGAGTGCCGGTTCCGACATCGTCATACGCAGATTTGCTAATAGCACTCAAAACTATTGCAGAGGCAGTGTTGGTTGAGTCAAGTTCAGCTTTTCTTTAGAGGTGCCAGTCTCTAATTGCAAGTCAGCAAACGGACTCGAAGCATGTCGCATTCCAGACCGGACGTGATTTTTGTCTAAGTTTTGCCGAAGCTCGCTCATATAGTATAGCAAAGTATAGTATAGTTTATGTGAAAAGGTACAATATATCATAGCAAAACAGCATTGCCTTCCCTGTCATGTTTGTGGTATGCCATGTCATGTCATACCATGCCCTACCATGTCATTTTGACCATGCATGGCAGGCCATATCGCACCATGTCACATCACACCTTATCCTATAATATCCAATCTTGTCCAGCCATCTTCGACCATCATACCAAACCATACACTATCATGTCGTATCATGCTGTTGCATAGTTCGAAGATTATCTTCCGTTACCCTACCTTTTTTTTATCGTAGCAGCTTGTACCATACAACAGCATGCTTTAATCTTTTATAACATACCTTAACATTTTATGTCGTATCATAACCTATCACAACATGCATAGCATACTGTATCACACCAAAAACAAGTTGCAGCCTGTTTTAGCGTTTAATAGCAAATCATCAGATGTTATGCCGCCTGTTAGCCCATACTTTAGCATATGATAGCATGTGAAAGCGTATCAGATCACGTCTAAACATGTAGTAGCACATTACGGTTCGTTACAAGACATTAAAACACATCACGTCGTATCATATCACAAACATAACGTAACGTTGCATATGGTCGCATATTGAAGAAACAATATCATACGATATTGCATGATGTTATCACGTAGCATGTTTCTTCTCTTTTGATTTAATAAGACATAATATAGCATGTTGCAACACAGTAAAGCTTATGTTGAAATATCGCACCATGTTTCAACATATCACAGCATGTTACAGCTCACCATTAGAGCAGATTAAAACGCGTTATAGCATATCAAAACATCTACACTTTGACGGATCTCACTTGTTCAGATTATTTCGCGTTATGCTATTTTCGTACACGTTGTATCATACCTTGTTCTGTCACATTCTGTCAAATTCATAGTTTTCATACTTCGTTCGGAATGAACAAGGTGATGCTTCCTTATAATACGTGAGATCATATTATATCACTGTTGCAATGTAGTAGACTATAGTGTATCATCTCAGTATGTTATAACTTGGTATCTTACATCCTATCAGAGTATGTAAAAACTATCATGTCGCTTTTTCAGTACTACATAAACCTGCGCTATACTGCGTATATGTTATATGACGTTATCTGCCTACCATGCTATGTGACATCACATCATTGAAAGCATATACTGACACATCAGCCGTATCATGCCATAACCATATCATACCGTTTAGATGTATTCGTTATTAAACCTAACATGCTATGCTACTTCCCTTACAATATCTTACATATTCGGCATCATCTTATACAGTTTGTATGTTTCTACATGTCGTTGCATTTGTTTTATTTGATCTGTTTACACTCTATCATAATCTTTTTAAAATTATACTTTGCTCTGCTGTCACTGTATAGGATTGTTTGAAACCGAATGTCAAATCTCTCCTATGTTGGCTTTCGTCATCTGCTCTTATACCATCTTGTGTTATCTTATGGTATCTTGTGTTATCTTGCACTGTCCTATGTCATGTTTGATAATCTAGTACTAGTGTTGCCATCTTATATAGATCAGTCATACCTCACATAAAATATGTTTCCGCAACAAGTTTCCAGTTGTAAGGATGTTATGTTGTTGCATATTTTGTGAGTAGGTTATGACATGATATGAAATCATATGGGTGGCTGTCAAAATTCCGTTTTATAATACGGCACCTATTATTTAGGGTACCCCCAAAGGGACCATAATTTTGACAACTACCCATATGAAATTTCTTTTGTATCTTGTCTTGTTCTATGTAACTACATTACGCAGTACACGAAACGACGAAGGTGCCCGAAGACAAGCGCTTCTTTGTCAAGGCGTGCTTGGCGGCTTTGGAAGGCCCGGCCCACAGTATGCAACTGGGTAGTTTTCTAAGTTAGGGTCCCTTTTTTAGGTCCCCAATATAGTACGGCACCATACGGCACCCTTATAAAAGGGCCCCTAAAAGGGACCTTAATTTAGAGAACTACTCAACTGACATGCTGGTTGTCCAACTCTTGTCGGATGGGATGGCGGCAGCTCGTTTACGAAAACTTCTTCCTTCGTGAGCTTTCCAGGTAGCACAGGCAGGGTTGGGACCACGGGAGAGATTTTGCTCTCTAGTGCTGCCGCCTCTGCCGGCAGCTGGAAGAGTCAGGTTCTGGTCAAATTGAAAGTTGTCAGCATTCGTGTGTCGCCTCAAGTTCCCTCTTTATCGGTCTTGTCTTTTTTTGTCTGGCAATATCTGGAACGACCTGAGAATGGGGATCACCTATCACGCTGTGTCGCATCAGACACTTTGGAAGGCATGGCGGGTTTGGGAGATGCGTCCGTCTGTTGCTAAGGATACGATGCCAGATATCTCCTGTGCAAAGTGGATGGTTTCACCAACACATATCAGGCCGGCGAAACATGGAGATGCTTTTGAAAGGATTCATTGCTTGCCTTGCTTGTGACCTGTGAAGGAGGAGTCTCCGGATGAGGTCATCCGAATATTTGGCAGCCTGGAGCCCATTTTGCCATGCTCGCTTCTTGCAGCCGTCCGGCTCCATTGCAAGATGAGGTCACTCCATCCTGCCGTCCAACAAAACAACTAGGCCGGACCAGAGTTTGGAGTGGCTAGATGTTGTCGCCCTCGGCACTCAGGGAAGATATTACTTCCTTCGGTGAAGAATTTGGGGCCGGATTTTCTGGCTCACGCCTGAGCAGTCTTGAGTTGGCTGCTGGGCCATGTTTCATGATTTGGTGGATTGAGACCTAGTGAAGCTCTTGGACAAGGTGCTGAAGGCGATGTGGTCGAGCGTATCTTTCGCAGGCCGTCACCTTTCTGGTGCACGCAAGCTGAGTTGGTGCTGCGAGGTCTTGTGGGTTTCGGTTTTCAGGATCTGCCAGGTTCAACTTACAATGCTATCGTTGGAAGGATTTAGGTTACGATGCGGCTGCAAGGGGCTGCTGCAACCCATGGATGATTCTTCCTGAGCACGCGTCTCGAGTTGTTTTTTCACGGAGACCGTGCACACGACATGCCAATACCCAAACAAGGTAAACGCATCCAGTGCTGACGACATTGTGGCAACTGCCTGCGCTGCAGATCTATAGATGCAGAGCTTCCCCGCTTTTAAGTGGCATGAAGAGCACTGGGTGCCGTAGCTTGGCACCCGTTTTCGTTGATGTTACTTGATTTCTGTGCCAGCTTTTGCCTGCACCGGGGATCGCAGGAGTGCACGCACTACATGCAATGAAACATGCACACATACGTTGACATGCATATGCGTATGCCCGTGTAGGGCACACCGATTACTGCACCAGTAACCTATCGAGACATCGCGGTATTCGTGTGTTTCCACTCGGTGATAGTTGCTGAGTGCACCGATCGGCCATTTGGTTTGCTGCGGACCTTCCCGTATTACGTTGGACACGAGCTCAGGGATCTGGTAGATTCAGGTCGCGCACGGGGGCGGGGAGGAGTCAGTGAGGGTTGTAGTTTCCAGGGTTTAGGGTTTCGGGTCTGAGTGTCTGGTTTCTGGCTTTGCGTTTGATACATGCGTGTCATGGCGATGATGAAAATTTCGAGGGACATGATTGGGTAGAGCAGAACCTCCTGCTCAGCCAGGCTTGATCGAAATCATGATGGAGCAGTGACGGCTCATGAGCTTCGCACAGCCTGCATCGACAGCACCGCCACCGCCTGAGCATGGGAAGACTTGCCTGTGGAAAGCGGGATCCTTTCAACTCCTGAAGGTTCGAGTCGCACTCCAATGGACTTTCCCAGACACCTGCTTGGAGGAACCCTGCTCCGATTTTCTTCTGGGCATGGCACAGGGGTGAGCCTTCAACTTAAACCTCGAGGAAGTCTTCACTGAGCTGGATGCCAATAGAGATGGAATGGCGCTCGCCCTGGCGACACCTGAAATTGAGTCGCGTCGGTTCGACACGAAGTAGGTTTGGAGTGGCATGATCCACTCAGGTGTCCTTACATGAGTTTGAGACTCGATTCCGGGGGACAGCTGCTCGGATCTTGTTTGGACTATCGCATCAGCAGTTCCACTTAGATATATGACTCTATGACAGAACCTTCCCAAGCAGCAGTTCTGCAATCCGGATGAGGTTGCTGCAGCAGGCAGCCAGACCAACAGCCGCTGCACCAGCAGACAATCTTCAATGGTATTGGCGGAATAGCGACTTAATTGCAGTAGAAGATAGACATGGAAGCGCCTACAGAGCTTCGACTGTTTTGCTGGAGGTCCTAGAAAGATTTGCTGCTCCCAGAGCAAAATGTAAATCTCACTCCCATGTCGCACTCTCACATTGTAGTATTCTTGGTGCGGCAATCCGAGGTGTGCGGAAAATCTGCAGAGGGATGGACGTCGTGCTCTGCATAAACACGTATGTTGGACGTGATGCGTGGTGCGCGGCAAAATTATCTTCATCTGCCGGAGTTTCACTGTATGATAGTGGCAGGTGTCCGGTACTTCATTCGGCAGTCCAATGTGTAGCGAGTCGCAGCGAGCGCTTCAGCCGTATCCAACCGGGCTTGGAAGAAGTGCTGACCAGATAGATCTGGAAGTTGCAGGTGATTTTGTGCATGAAAACTCATGCACATTTTTTCCGCACTGCAACTTGCAAAAGTCAAAGAGCGACGGAGGCAGCATCCTTCAAACTCTTGAGCTGGAGTTGACCAGTTGGCATCTTTCCAGCCTTGTGATCTGGGGAGTGCCGAGTTTGATGCTCCGTTTCACCGGTCTTTGCGTACTTTAGTGTTACACACCTTCAAGATGTGTATGTTGCTTACCAGCAAACGAGTCAGAGGACCACCTTTGCGCTTGCCGCGGGGAAATGCTCCTCACGTTGCAAAAGCTTGCTGCTCGGTGTAGGGGAAATCATTGCAGATTGTGCACCAATGATGCCAGTGTCTTCGAAGGAGGTGATCAAGTGGTTTGCCGACCGGGTTGATATGATCTTGGTCCTCTTTGATGTGTGCCATGGCTTTGCAAGAATAGAGTTGCCTTTGACAGCCTTTAAGCCACAGGCCATTAAGGCAAAACCTACACATGAGGTCTAAGCTGGACATCTCAGATGAGTTCCGTCGCGTGCTGCTTGCTCTGAAAGGGAGCCTCGGCAACGCAAAGCATGGGGCCTGCAGGGCTTTCTCTTAGAGCTCTTGGTCTCAGCAGGCGAGGCAGTCGCCCGGAAAAGCACACAGATGCACGTGCACGCAGTTTGTGCAGGCTAGAAGAGGAAGCGTCTGCCAAACTTCCTGACAGGAACGATCAGAAGATACACATCATTCTGAACAAGGCACCTATTTCCCTGCTGCTTCGCTGTCCGTGGCCGCTTGGAGTTCCGAGCGAGAGGCCGATCAGGTAACGACGCCGCAGCTGATGCGCGTCTACGGGGCCCGGTTCTCGAGCCGATCGGGACCTGACCTCTAGATCGTTGTCGTTCTTTTGAGAAGCGTCGCTGCTTTCTCCTTACAGTCTAGTCTCTTGAAAGGGTTTTCGGGTCTTGAATTGCTGCTGAGGCGCTCATGTGGTCCTTGGGAAAGGTGATTGCTGCCACCTCAGCTCGCGCAAGCAGAACATCTTTCAGCGCGCCTCTGCAGTGCATCCGATCCTAAGGACACCCCAGAAGTTTCCCGTGTTTACATTGGGTCCTACTGGGTCCAGCTCCCGTTCGGCTTCGTGCTTTGCCACCCTAAAGCAAGATCAGGCTTGCCGGCTGTAATTAACCATTCTGAGGATGGAGCACTGCGCAACGTAGAGATGAGAAGTCTCTTCGAGTCCGAAGAGTCGACGACTTACGATCTGAGTCTTGTTGTCCTTTCCGGAGCTCCAGAAGAGCAAGCGACCCAGGGCGGCATTCGGCTTTTTTTCACATGCTTTCGCCAAGGAATGACCTTTACACTGCCTTGTCCCAGATGCCGCGTGGGGCGGCAACGAGAAAGCTGAATGATTTGATCAAGCGGGCGAGATTGGCGCGGGCCACTGCCTTAGAACCTCGTGAAGCTGCTCCGCCACTTTGCAGTGCCAGTGTTGTTGGCCAGGTGTTGGCCTTCTTGCTGAACCACCTAAGGACCAAGCCCGATCCGGCTGTTCAGAGAACCTGTTATGATAACTTTTAAGTGTGGTTCTCGCAGGAACAAAATGCCATCCTTCATGGGCAAGAGCAAGGACTTTCTTTTTCCCTTCCCCGGGTGCGTGTCTGGGGGACAAGTCGACAGAAGGAAACTCAGATCCATCTAAGCAGCAAAGGTGTGACCACTTGCCATTGTGCTGTTCTTTTGACAGGAGCAGAAGAAGCTCATTGACAACCTCACCAGCGTTTATGGAGAAATCGCGAAGGCCGGGCGAAAGTTGGTCTTAGCGGCCCCTCCACAGTTGTGGGCATGCTGGCTGCTGGCTCTATTCCGATTTGACCCAGGAGCGTGGCTTGGCAATGGGCGACTTTCCCGACCCAACCTTGATGCGGGCAAGCCGGCTTGTGCTCGCACGGGTCTTGTGCGCGCGATGGTGCCTGCACAGAGGAGAAGCTGGAGAAGATGGATTTTACCAAGTTTCCGAAGCTTGACAAGAAGAAAATGGACAACTTAGAGGCCCGTGCCTATGACCTCCTGAACAGCGCGGCGTGGCTCTTGGCTTTGTGGCTGCAGGCCATGATCCACGAGGAGCTGCCTCGGCTCCTAAAGATGACATCAGAGGAGGCCTTTCCGGCTGTTCGGCGGTGCCCCATGTTGTCAGTCGCAGTCTCTGTTGTCTGTGGAGGAAAGGATCGCTCTGTACTTGGAGCTGGCAGTATACATATTTTGGGAGTTATATAGTTAGATTTTTTGTTTTTGGGATTTTTCTTTCTGGTGCCGTTTCCCTGAGCAGCAGCTGCTACGGCTACTACTACTACTACTACTACTACGACGACGACGACGACGACGACGACGAACGACG